TTCGTCCATTAGTAGATAAACAAAATAAATTAACGAAGTAAAATAAAATAATTCGAAATGAATATATATATATGTAATTGAAAATATAATTTATAGGAGTTTAGAAAGTTCAACAAGAAAAATGGATGAATTAAGTTTTGAATTAAAACAAGTTGATTCGAAAGTTGAAAAATATCGAACAACATTCGAAAAAACAACTAATGAAGCTCAACGTTTAAAAGTTGATTTAGAAAAAGCTACAGAAACAATTGACGCTGCACAAAATCTCGTTGGAAAATTAGAAGGAGAATTTTATCGGTAGAAAAAAAATGAAACTATTTAAATTTGAATAAAAAATTATCTCTTTTTCTTTCATATAGATGGTCAAGTCAAGTCAATGATTTAAATGAACAATTAAAAGCTTTACCAAAACTTTCTTTATTATCTGCTGGTTTCATAACATATTTAGCAAGTCAATCAGAAGATAAGCGTATTGAGTATATGAGTAAATGGAAACAAATATTAAAGGTTGATGATAAATTTGATGTAAGAAAATTTTTATCAACTGAAAGTGAACAATTAGTATGGAAAAGTCAAGGTTTACCATCGGATGATTTATCAATGGAAAATGCTATAGTTATTCTTCGTTCACAATTATGTCCTTTTCTTGTTGATCCATCATCACGCGCAACTGATTGGTTAAAAACGCATTTAAAAAATAAAAAAGTTGAAGTTATTAATCAACAAGATAGTAATTTTACAACACAATTAGAATTAGCTGTACGTTTTGGAAAAACATTAATTGTGCAAGAAGTTGATGGAGTTGAACCTGTACTTTATCCTATTCTAAGAAAAGATTTAGCTGCACAAGGTCCAAGACATGTTGTACAAATTGGAGAAAAAGTTATTGATTATAATCCAGATTTTAGAATTTATTTAACAACACGAAATCCAACACCAGAATTATTACCAGATATGGAAGCTATTGTTAATGAAGTTAATTTTACTACAACACGTGCTGGACTTACTGGACAAGTAAAATAATAATAATAATAATATAAGATTAATCATATATTTGTTTATCTTTTAGCTTTTAGCAACAGCAATTCAACATGAAAAACCTGAATTAGAAGTTCGTAAAACAGAATTACTTCGTAAAGAAGAAGAATTAAAAATTGAATTAGCAAAATTAGAAGATCAATTACTCGAAGTATGTCTAATTGACTAAAAAAAATAACCAACATAAAACTTTTCTTTTTCTAAAGGATTTAGCAAATGCAACTGGTAATATTCTTGAAAATAAAGAATTATTAGAATCATTGAATAAAACAAAAGAAAAATCTGCAACAATAACAAATTCTCTTGAAGAATCTGTTAAACTCGGAGAAGATCTTGACAAAGTAACATACTCTTTAAATTAAATTTGATTTTTCCTTAAAATAAAATTTTTAGGAAAGAAATGATTATTTACCATTTGCTAAACATGGAAGTAAATTATTTTTTGTTATATCAGATTTATCGAAAGTTAACAATATGTATCAATTCAGTTTATCTGCTTTCTTACGTTTATTTCAACGTAATCTTGAACAAACAGATGTAAAATAATTCATATATTGAATATTTAGAAGATAAAAAAAACATTTTATATTTTATAGAAAAGTTCTTCTCAAGATCGAATATTAGCATTAGGAAGAAATCAATTGCGTATAGCATATACATATGTTACTCGATCATTATTTAAATCTGATCGTTTAATGTTTGCCATGCATTTAGCACATGGAATGTTTCCGAAAAAGATTCCTGAGAATGTAATATAAAAAAAATTGACTATTATTTTTTGTAATAAAAAATAAATCAATTTATTTAGGAATGGGAACATTTTATAGGTATATCAGTTATTGATGTAAAAGAAACTCGATCAATACCATCATGGGTTAATGAAGAACGATCATTTGATGTATCTGCATTTAAAGTAAATTTTAAAAAAATATTTTTTTCGAAAAATTTATTAAATAAAATTTAATTTTTAGACAAATTTTCCTGAACTTTTTTCAAATTTTCGTTTTGATGATTCATCATGGTCAAAATGGAATTCAACAAATGAATGTGAATTAAAATTTCCTCAAGATAAACAAGTAACATCATTTCAACAATTATTAATTATACAAGCATTTCGACCTGATCGATTAGAAAGTGCAATGAGACAATTTGCTTGTAATGTATTAGATATTCCAGATATATCACCTGAAACATTAAATTTAAAAAAACTTTATTCAAAAGAAACAATTTCAACAGAACCTATTTTAATTATTATTTCACCTGGTGCTGATCCATCAGCTGAACTTACAGATTTAGCTATAGGAGTAACTGGAAAAGATAAATATTCAGAAGTACATATATATATTTTCATATTATCTTTAATAATCGAACTAATTGTTTTATTCAGATTGCTATGGGACAAGGTCAAATGCAAATAGCTCTTGATCTTCTTAAGAAATGTTCAAGTCAAGGTTCATGGTTATGTTTAAAAAATCTTCATTTAGTTACATCATGGTTAACTACACTTGAAAAAGTAACAAACAAAATTTTTATTATGAAAATTGTCATCTATTTAATTTTTATTTTTAAGGAATTAAATGCATTAAAACCACATAAAGATTTTCGTTTATGGTTAACATCTGAAGTTCATCCGAAATTTCCTACGATACTTTTACAATCAAGTCTTAAAATAACCTATGAAGCACCACCGGGTATAAAGAAAAATCTTTTACGTACATTTGAGAATTGGACACAAGATGAATTTGGTAAAGGTGGTACTACACGTTCTCAAACACTTTTTGTTCTTGCCTGGTTTCATGCAATTGTACAAGAACGAAGAAAATATATTCCACAAGTATTTATTTACATTTAAAATATTTTGATGTAAAAATTCAATTTATTTAGGGATGGACTAAATTTTATGAATTTTCTCAAGCAGATCTACGTGCTGGATATGAAATTATACATCGTTTATGTGAACGAGCTACTAAACAATGTTAGTAGAAAGAAAAAGATGAGATATAAAACTAAGAAATTCAAAATTTCTTTTTCATTTAGCGGGTGGTGAAATTCAATGGGATTATATTCATGGTTTATTTGATCAAGCAGTTTATGGTGGTCGTGTTGATAATCCAGTGGATATTGATGTATTACGATCTTATTTAATACAATATTTCAATTCCGCTGTTATCAGTGGTTCAAAAGGATCAAAAAATAAATTAACATCAATGATTACTATACCTAATTCATCCGATCTTAACGTATATATATATATTTAGGCAATAATAAACGAAAAAAACAAGATTTATTATTTTATTTTAGGAATATAAACAAATTTGTGAAAATTTAAATGATGATCAAGATGCACCGAGTTTATTTGGTTTACCAGCTAATATTGAACGATCAGCACAACGAATGAATAGTTCTCAAGTAATAAACATAAAGATTTTGTTTAAAAAAAGATTTTGATTTTTTTATTTTATTTAAGATTATAAGTTCATTGAAAATTTTACAACGTACCGATGTTGAAATAGAAAAATTTGATAAAGATAAATGGAGTGCTTTATTAACACCATTACTTAATTTATGGAAAAAAATAAATCAAGTAAGAAAATGTTGTTTTTATTCATTAGATAAAAACAAACAAAATCTTTTTAGGATGCTGGTTTATTAAAACTCAAAGTTAATCCACCCACTGAAGATGGTTCATTATCACCAATTCAATCATTTCTTCAATTAGAACGTTATAATGGTATTGAATTAGTACAAACAATTCATGAAAATTTAGCAGCATTATCAAAAGTTATTCGTGGTATAAGTTTAATTACAAATGAAGTACAGGAATATGCTAAAGATTTACTTCAAAATGAAGTAAGAATTTTTTATTTATAAAGATCTATATTCAACAGATAATGTTTAGTCATTGTTATTTTTTCTTTTATAAATACAACCATCGGCTGTTTTTTCTAAGTCATATTATAATCTAATTCGAATAAAACATCTACAATTTCATTTCTCTGGAGTACTAAGAGTAAAGATTGTTTTGTTTTCTTTGATTGACAGTTAAATCTATGAAGAAAACAAATTCACTACGGAAATGAGTTATCAGATATGTAGGAGGAAGATGTGCTCGTTCGTTCAATATCGATTTATAACCGGAGGGAAAATAATCTTCAGACTTTTTAGAAAGCTTTCTCTGGTGTTTTATACGGAAACTAATATTTTCTTATTGCTTTTCAAGTGATTTCGTCATTTATTGCCAGAAACTTTCTTGAAGTACATTCATATACCACCTTATTACAATAATCATCGATATTATACTGTAGATTATTTGAAATTTTTCTTTTCTATATCTTTAAATGCAAATTCTAATAGATTAAAATAATATTATTTAGACTCCTCAAACATGGCAAAATCGTTGGGAAGGTCCCACAGATCCTATGCAATATCTACGTGCTGTTGTATCAAAAGCTAAAGCAATGACACAAATAGCAGCATCAATAAAAGATCGTGAAATATTTTCACAAACAATAAATCTATCGGATTTATTTCGTCCGGATACATTTTTAAATGCATTAAGACAACAAACAGCACGTGAAACGAAACAACCTATGGATACATTAGTTTTAAATACATCTTGGTCTGGTGAAGTTAAACATGGAAAAAATGTTTCAGTTAAAATTAGTGGTTTACAATTAGAAGGTTGTTCATTTGATAGTGGACGTTTAAGTGAAAGTGCACCTGATTCACCAAGTGTTACATCATTTCCATCATGTTATATTGCTTGGATATCACGAGT